TGGTCTGAAGCCCCGCCTGCCATTCCTATGCCTATGGTTTGGGTGTACTGGCAGTTGTGGGCTTACGTTGGGTGTGTGAGACTAGCAGAGCTACTACCTTGCAATGATGAGCCGCCAGTCTCTGGCAGTGAGACCTGCAGCCGGAGCCTTTGATCTCCAATAAAGCCTGCCAGTTAAACGACACTGTAAAAGTGACTGTAAAGTGCTTTCAGACATTATAAGATTATGAAAGGTGTTATTTAAATGCAAGCCTGTCTTGTTTCTCTCTTCGGGTACCATTAAGCGCACAATAGCTGCTATGTTTGTCTCCAAAACGGCAAAGTCCTGCATTGTAATGCTTATAAAATACTTTCATGTTTTTATCTCTGAGATATTTATAAGGCATTAGACTTTTTTTCCTTACCTACTAACAGCACAGAGCAAACCATGTCTGGTTTGACCTCTACCTTTTGCATATCATTAGTAACTCTCCGCCATTCCTGTTGGCGGTAGGTCCATGTTATCAATCAGCAGGTTCTGCAGGACTTCCAGTTATACATTTTTAATGTTGGGGAGTAGGTACACCGGTGGTGGGAGAGTGGGGTGATGTTCTCAATGTGAACGGATTACACTTTGTTTGTTTTGCAGTATCTTCTCAAGGTGAACGAAATAAAGATTCGAGAAGGCCCTGACCTACTCCAGAGCCTCATCAAGTACTTCCATGCTCAGCAAAAGTACGTCACCTTTTAGCTGATCCCTGTGTATGTACGAGGTTGGCATCAACAATCCATCCCTAAAAGGACCTTTCTTCTCAGATATTTTTGAACTTAATCTGTGAATTGACATTTGAATCGAAGTTTGCAATGTAGCTTTTTTTTGTATTTTTTTTCCTTTTATTCATTCACGGGATGAGGGTGTCACTGGCGAGGCAGCATTTATTATCCATCCCTAACTGCCCAGAGGGCACTTAAGAGTCAACCACATTGCTGTGGGTCTGGAGTCACATGTAGGCCAGACCAGGTAAGGATGGCAGCTTCCTTCCCTAAAGGACATAGTGAACCAGATGGGTTTTTCCAACAATTGACAACGAATTAATGGTCATCATTAGATTCTTAATTCCAAATATTTATTAAATCAAATTCCACCATCTGCCGTGGCAGGATTCAAACCTGGGTCCTGAGAATGTTGTCTGGTCTCTGGATTAACAGACCAGTGATAATACCACTAGACCATCGCCTCCCCATAAGGATTGTTTAAACATGTATCATCAATATTTCTAACTACTGACCCCTTTCTCTTATTGGAAAGTTTAGTCATACCTTTTATTCCCCACAGATGCTGCCTGAACCCCTGAGTGTTTGCAGCATTTTATATTTTTCTTTTGGATTTCCAACACTGAGTATATCATGTTTGTTTTAAAGTTGTTGTTTCAGCTTGTGTCAAATTATTCAGTAATGATGCTGAAATCTCCAGTGAGCTTTGGGAATTGAGGTTTTGGTTGTAGCTGATTATGATATTACTGCAGGGGAAGAAGTTGTCATTGTAATCTAGCCTCTCTGCAATATTTTACAGAACAAGTCTAGTTTATTTTTTCAAAAAAAACCTAATTCAATTTTTCTTCTTTCCTCAGCCAAAGCTGTTGGCTGATTCTTCTTTTTACCCTTAAGTTCCTGTTCCTCTTGGTTATGAATTTTAACAGGCCAGTCTACTGTGGTGGGCAGCACAGTTGCACATTCTCAGCTTTCGTCATCTGCAAGATAGTCACTGGCTCGTGATTTTAACAAAATGTGTGACCGCTGATTTGGCTTCTAACCTCCCGCTGGCCCCTGAGGACCGAGACTACTTATTATCCAGCTGGGAATTATTATCCATAGACTGGGAATTAAACAGTGACCTGAAAAAGAGTGGAATGGGGGCTTCTGTGTGGAAGAATTCTGTACCTATTGGCTTCATCCAGCAGCTCATGAGAAGCTTTTCAGTGATCCATTTGCAACCTTCAGCCTCTCTTTCATTCAAATGGTTTATTGAAATAAATGTGAGATGTTGTTCTGTTTTCCACGTTCGTTCCTTGAGGACTGAAATTGTGGGATATGCTCCCAACACTGTGAATTGAATGTCCATTACTCTTATCAAGTTCAGGCCAACACAAATCCTTTATTTACCTTTTTGTTTCATTTTCTCTTTTAAAGTTTTTTCCAGGATGGTCTTAAGGCAGCTGAAAGCTTGTCACCTTTTGTGGAAAAATTAGCTGCGATTGTACACTCTGTGAGTATTGTTGAAATGCTGCTGCAGAAAATTAAACGGCTTATGTCCCTCCACCTGGCTGCAATTCAGTTTAATCCCATCACGCTGCTATTTTCCTGACCTATCTTTAAATATTTAACCTGTCAAGTGTATGAAGTTTCCTTTTGAATGATACAGTATTGTCACAGCAATAGTAACGATTGCCTTCATTGCTCAGACCTTTGAGTGTAGGAGTTGAGATGTTATGTTGAGGTTGTACAAGACGTTAGTGAGGTCTCTTCTGGAGTACCATGTCCAGTACTGGTCACCCTGTTCTAGGGAGGATATTATTAAGCTGGAGAGGATTCAGAAGAGATTTATCAGGATGTTGCCAGGAATGGAGGGTTGAGTTATAAGCAAAGGCTGGATAGGCTGGGACTTTTGAGATTGAGGAGTGACCTTTATAGATGTTTATAAAATAATGAGGGATATAGATAAGGTGGATAGCAGTGTCTTTTCCCTAGGATGGAGGATTTCAAGACTAGGGTCTTTTAAGGTGAGAGGAGAAAGATTTTAAAAAAGACATGAGGTTCTTTTCTTTACAGAGCGGTTCGGGTGTGGAATGAAGTTCCAAAGAAAGTGTTGGATGTGGGTACGGTTACTATGTTTAAAAGACATATAGACAAGTACATGAATAAGAAAAGTTTGGAGAGCCATGCGCAGGCAGATGGGACTAGTTTAGTTTGGGATTATGGTTGGCAATGGACTGGTTGGAAGAGGGTCTGTTTTCGCACTGTATGACTTTATGACTCTGTGTAATCTCACCATTTTCCCATCCCCTTTTTCTGGGGTTTTGTTTTCATGTTGTGTACAGACTGAGATTTATTGCCATCCTAAGCTGCCCTTGTGAAGGTGGTGGTTTCTGTGCTCCAAAGGTTTTCCCATATTTTGTAAGATATTTGAGGGACTCTGTAGTCTCATTCAGAGAGGTATTTGATGTAGGGATTGAAATCTCAAATAGCTGGCACTTAGTAAGGATGATGGTTTTCCTTCTCTAGGTGAATTTTAGTAGCCCAGATGGTTTTTTGCAACAGTCTCACTTTTTACTGAAAGGATTATGTTTTACTTCCAGATATCATTTTTCCCATAAACTAAGTTGATGATCTATCATTGCTATAGTGGGATTCGAATTCTCCGGATTAATAATAACATAACAACTGCGCTGCCATCTGCTGTGTTTGAGTCGCTTGACTATCTTCCTTCTCAATGACTCCACCAGTTGAACTTGGGACTTTTCCTGGCCTGTTTGCCTTCAGTACACACCAGGGTTTCCAGCTCCACTTGGACATATTCCTGACCGTATCAGCACATGATCACTCACTCCTGCAACAACCACATCTCTTCTCTCCATTATTTACCTGGCACATCCATCATTGTGCAGGCATCCCCTACCCACAGCCAATTGTAAAGTGCGCCAATTAATTGTCACCCAATTGGACAATGCTTGACCCTCAGTCAATCAACTTTTCCCTCTGTATCTCCATTATTTTTAAAGCTTTAACATGTCAGATGTGACTCTGTTGGTAACACACTTTCCTCTGCATCACAGGATACAGGGTTCAGCTCCCACTCCAGAGCATTGAACGTAAGTATCAAAGCTGATACTCCCTTGCAGTGCTGAGGAGGTGCTGTACTATTGAAGGTTTCAGCTTTTGGATGAGTTATTAAACCATTTAAAATAAAACAAAGAACTGTGGATGCTGGAAATCTGAAACAAAAACAAAGCGACTCTTCTTCAGAAGAAGGATCACTAGACTCAAAACGTTAACTCTCTGTTTTCTTTTCACAGATGTTGCCAAACCTGCGGAGTTCCTCCAGCAATTTCTGTTTTTGTATTAAGCCATCTGCTGGCACAGTGGCTCAGTGGTTAGCACTGCTGCCTCAAAGTGCCAGGGACCTGGGTTGGATTCCAGCCTTGGTAATTGGCTGTGTGAAGTTTGCACATTCCTCCAGTGTCTGTGTGGGTTTCCTCTGGGTGTTCTGATTTCCTCCCACAGTCCAAAAATGTGCAGGTTAGGTGGATTAACCATGGTAAATGTGGGGTTACAGGGAAAGAGCAGGGGACTGGATTAGGGTGTGATGCTCTTCGGAGGGTTGGTGCAGACCCGATGAGCTGAATGGCCTCTTTCTGCACTGTAGGGATTCAATGCTTGAGTGGATGCAGGCGTTCCGGTCAATAATTATCCTTCTATCAATGTCAAAAAACCGATTACCCGCTCATTATCACTTGTTTGCTGAATGCAAATTCGCTGCTATGTTTCCTACATAGTAGCACTGACAATTCAGAAAGTACTTCTTCAGCTTTAAAGTTCTTTTAGCTCATCAGTGGTCATGACGAACACTGTACAAGTATAAGTCTGTTTGCTTTTTGTGAAAAGGAAATGGAGAGAATCTGAGTTGGTCTTGGCAATGTCAAAATTAATCTTCATGATTCCAGGATACTGCTGGGAAGTTGACAACACTGGTATGAAGTGGATGTTGCAGTTGCAAAACCAAGTAATGGAGAGAACTGAATCCATGTAATTAACTAACACAGCCCCATGCTAGGTGAAGTCGGAAAAATTGAGGTGTGAGACTACAGATCATGCTGTCTAAGGATTGCTGCCTCCATCCTGGATATGGCGAATTATCAGTGGTCAATTCCTTTTCCAATTTCAGCCAGTTCCTTTTTTCCTGTTGTGACATGATTGGACCTTTCAGAGGTTGACCATAGATGTATGTCTAGATTTAGGCCGTTCAGCCCATCAGGTCTGCTTCACCATTCAATGAGATCGTGGCTAATTTTGAAAATCTTCTACTCTGCTTTCTGGTCTTTTCCTTGTAATCCTTGATTCCCTTACTGATTTAAAAATGTCAGCCTTGAATATCCTTAACTGTAGCTTTTTGCAGTAAAGAATTCCACATAAAAGAAATTCCTTCTCATCTCTGTCGTAAATAGATGACCCTTTTCTTTGAGATAATGCCCTCTGGGCCTAGGCACTGCCACGAGGGAAACCACTTCTCAGCATCTACCTTCTCAACTCCACTAAGAATCTTGTATGTTTCAATAAAGTTGCATCTTATTCCTCTAAACTCCGATGAGTATAAGCTCAACATACTCAATCTCTCTTCATTAGAAAATCATCCTACCTGGAATTAACATAGAAAACCATCATTACACCGTCTACAATGCCAGTTTAACTTTCCATAGATAAAGGAGCCAAAACTGTTCACAGTACCCAAGGTGGACCTAGGTGTAACAAAACTCCCTACTTTTACAGTCCATTTAATTTGCAAAAAAAACTTTATTTGCCTTCCCTATTACCTACTTGTGTGCTAGCATTTTTATGAATAATACATGAGGACCCCCAAATCCCTCTCTGCTGCTGTTCTTTGTAGTCTTTCTTCATATCCAGATCATCTATTCTTCCTGCCAATGTGCAAAACATTTTCTCACATGGTTGGTTTCTGGAGTGAACTTAGGAACAGGAACTGGACACTTAACCCTCTAACCCTTTCTGATGTTCCCCCTTGGTCCCTTTAATAGCCCTGGGCAACAATAAAGTATCAATCTCATGTAAAATTAACGAGCTTGTAACTACTCTGCTGAGTGTGGCAGAATCCTGTATGTCTGTCCTATTGCCCTTTACGAAGAGAAGACGTTCTTAACATTTCCCTGTGAATGGGCTGGCTCTGATTTTTAAGGTGGCATCCCCTTGTGGAACCATGGAAACTGCAACTTGATTGGCTGTTGTGCTGCAATGTGTTTCAAGAGTACATCAGGTTACTTTATTCAAACACTGATTGGATGATAATGAAAATGAGAAGTGTCCTCGGCTGGCCAGTATTGCACCAAAACATGCTGTTTTCCATGTGATGTCTTAAACTGAAGCCTTGCCCGCTTTTCAGATGGATATAAAGAAGAAACTTGCATTTATATAGTGCCTTTTACAACCTAAAGACATTTAAAGTCCTTTTTGGAAGTGCAGCCACTTTTTTAATGTAGGAAGCACGGTAGTCAAATTGTGCACAGCAAGATTCCACAAATTCAGTAAGCAACTAGATCATCTCTTTGGTGTTGGTTGCAATGGCAAATGCTAAGGCTTCCTTGTGTCACTGCTTTTCTTACATCGACCAGAGAAGTAGTCAGGGCCTTGATTTAACATCCTATCGGATAACCAAAAGAGTCTTCTGTACAAATATCTCCCTCTTGCTTTGAAGTAAACTGGTCAGACCTCTCTTTCTTTTTGTCTCTCCCTCTGGTTTGGTGTCAGGTATTTTGTCTGATCTATGCTTTGCTAAGGTGCTGATTCTGCTACATTAAAGGTACTATTTAAATGTAATTCATTCCATGAATGCTAATATTGTAATAGCGCATCATGAAGCATCAAGGCTAGATGGACAGGCTAGATGCGGGAAGAACGTTCCCGATGTTGGGGAAGTCCAGAACTAGGGGGTCACAGTCTAAGAATAAAGGGTAAGCCATTTAGCACTGAGTTGAGGAAGAATTTCTTCACTCAGAGTTGTGAACCTGTGGAATTCAAGAAAGCTGTTGGGGCCAGTTCATTACATATATTCAAGAGAGAGCTGGAGGTGGCCCTGGAAGCTAAAGGGATCAAGGAGTATGGGGAGAGGGTGGGAATGGGATACTGAGATTGCATGATCAGGTATGATCGCATTGAATAGTGGTGTAGGCTTGAAGGGCCGAATGGCCCATTCCTACAACTATTTTCAATGTTTCTCTGTCAAGTTAGGGTTCTTTCTGATGGCCAGTTATTGATGCACCATTTTTGTGGTCCATATATTTTTGATATCAGAGAACTTTAAGAAGGGTGCAAGAAAGTCGAACATTTTTGTTTGCTGGGCATTCTGAGCTGCCTGTAATAACCTGTTGTGTGCTGGCTTAAACCTTTGGGCAGACCTCTTCTTGCTGTAACATGAGATTTTTTTTTTTCTTGTTGATCCGAAGCTGAAACAAGCACAAGATGAAGAGATGAAACAGCTGACCCAGATCAGGGACTCCCTGAGATCAGTACTCCAAGTGGATCACAAAGAGGTAAGTAACAACAGTACCAAGTGTACCCCCTGCAAGCAAGAAGATCCTTTGAAGGAGGCTGCTAAGTGGGAAGAGGAAGGGACTTGTGCAGAAGATTGGATAAGGATCAAAGACAGTGACAACTAGATAGGAGTTTGAGCGAGGACTACAGTCATGGGTCTGCCAATGACAAATCTTATATCAGTATCTTTCTGAAGAAGAGCAAGTGGTTACAGGAAAAGATATAAAGATTCTTGAGTAAATGAAAACTACCATAAGCTGGTAGAGAAGAGTCATCCAAGTGCTGAGTTCTGATCTTTTGATCAACTTATGTTGGCATAGCACTTTCTAAAGCCCAGGGACACTCCAAGCCTAGTGCTTTCCTGGATTGTTTGGTAACCAAAACCAATGTGTTACTGGAGATCTTATTGCATTCACTATTCCTCTCCAACACATTCACCTCCCTGATCCTGCCATTGGTGGTGGGCTAGAGGAGGAGATTTTGAGGATCAAAAGCTTGGTCAAAAAGCTCAGTTTTAAGAAGGCTCATAAAGGACGTGCTCAGCAGATCTGGCAGCATCTGTAGAGAAACTGCCTTAATGTTTGGGGTTAATCAGAGTTCTGAAGAAAGGCCTTGACCCCAAGCATTTAAATCTGTTTCACATTCTACAGGGGTTGCCAGACTTGCTGCGTATTTCCAGAATTATCTGATTTGATCGCATTTCTGGCAATAGCAGTATTTCGAGTTTCCTCACAAAGCAGGTGAAGAGGTTTTAAGTAGGGATTCTAGAGTGAGAGATCTTAATAGCTGAAGGTTATTGGACCATTGAAGAAGCCACAGGAGAAACACAGACTTTGGCCTTTACAAAGCTGGATGATAATATGGATCTGGAGAGGGTGATGCCATGAAAGAATCTAAACTTGCATAAAATTTTGGATGCCAAGGTATCTGTAAATTACATACAGTGAGTATGGTGGGAGGGAGGGAAGTTACAGTTCAAACAAGATTTGAACATCAAACAAATACTAAGACATCGGAAAGGCAGAGAAGAGGTTCAATAAGATGGTGGAGATGGAGAGCTGGTGTCCTCTATGTACACAGGGAAGCCTAAACCTATAGAAGCCGATGATGCTGCTTTGTGAACACTAGCGTTTGGTAGCAGTAGTATATTTGAGGATGATTGTAATGTGGGTGGGGGAATGGTGACTCTAATTCCTTCTGACTAGAAGGAATAAATTGGGCTGAATGGTCTGTACCATTCATGTTTATCTTCCGATTAAATACACAAAGGATTGAGGCATATTGAGAAAGTTCTCTATATTGCTGTTCGAATCGTTGTCCTTCATGTTATTTCAATGACTTGAAGTTAGAAATCTTCTTGTTCTTTGGATATGTTTGATATTTTGGGTGAGGGGGGTCCTGTTCATACTAATTCTTAACATTGAGAGTTATGATTAATAACATTTCTCTGTATGGTTTTGCTGATTGCTGGGAGATGAACTGGCTTGCTACCTATTGCCGTTTCCTATTCCAAACTCTTTATTTCTCCTCCTTTTTTTTTTCAGGATGGTTTGAACAGGAAAAATTCAGGCTACAGCATACACCCACTCCCAGGGAACCGTCTATATGGCACAGAAAAATCTGGTTTTCTGAACAAAAAGAGTGATGGGTAAGAAATGGGAAAAGTTTAACCGTGCCTGCCCTTGGCCTGAAAACCCTTCACTTTCAAATCACAATGCACTCTTAGAGCTGCAATGAGCTTTCTATCCTTGTATGAGATGTGGGCATTGTTAGCAAAGCCAATATTTATTGCCCATCACTAGTTGCTTTTGAACTGATTGACTCTCCAGGCAGTTTAAGAGGGCAATTAAGAGTCTACCACATTGCTGTAGGATTGGAGTCACATGTAGGTCAGACCAGGTAAGGATGGCAGATTGCCTTCCGAAAAAAAGTTAGTGAACCAGATGATTTTCATGACAATTGTCAAAGGTTTCAATTTTTATTTTAATTCTAAATTTTTGCATTGAATTCTGATTACCTTATCTGTCAGGGTGGCTTTCAAACCCATGTCCCTTGCCTATTAGTCTAGGGTCCTGATTTACTAAGCGACTCACTATGTTACCATTATGCTGCTACCTCCCTCTATTGTGAGATTGTTTTCTGCTCTAGAGAAAATATTAATGGGAGATTTGATGGAGGTACATGATATCATGTTATGTTTTGATAGGACAAATCAGGGCAAACTCTTTCAATTCGCTGGAGTGTCCGTAACCAAGGATTTTGATTCAAGAAATTTTGGCAAAAGAGCCAGGGATCAAATGAGATTTTATTTAAATGCAGTAAGTTACGATAATCTAGAAATCAGAAAGGTGGTGGATATGGTACCTGTAGTCTGACCCATCAGTTACATTTAGTTGTAAATGTGATGTTTCTGGTGCAAATTCCACTGTCTTTGTCTCACCTTCCAGCATCCGAAGAGTGTGGCAGAAGAGGAAGTGTGGAGTTAAATATGGCTACCTCACCATATCGCACAGTACTGTAAGTAAATATCACAGTAGCATAAATTATCTATATAGTATCATCCGTAGCTCAAGCATCCATTTCCTATTTTCTTCTCCCTTTTGTTATAGAAACAGACATTGAATGTATGTGAAACTTCTTCACTGGAATCTGACACCAGGAACTGATGCATTAATTAAAATGAACAGTAATTCAAAACTACATTTTCTTTTTTGGTTCTGGTACAAAAACGTTCAGAAGCAACAGTGTAATTTTCCAGTGTGTGAGCCACATGTCGGGAATGCCTAAAGTTTGATTCTGGTCTGTAATGTTGATCTGAGTGATAGTGTTGGTGTTCCTACATTGTTGAGCAACCCTATCGTAGAGGGGATGACAACCCAACCAAGGCCGTAAATTATTATAAATGTCAAGCAGCCCAGTCCGGATATGTGTGTGCATGTTGAATGGAGACAGGGTGGGGCATGGCTGTGATGCACTTGGTGGTGGATTAGCAGGCTTTCATTGTCAAAGTGCAGGGCACTCGGACAAAGTACAATCCACTGTCCTGTGGATTGCCCACTTGGTTCATTTTGTTGAACTGTCTGGGTAAGGTGGGCGCAGGATCTCTAACTCAATTGTATGAGGTGAAACCCAAGTATACATATTGGCACAGACCTACAGACTTTGCTGCATTTGCGAGACAATCTGTAGAAAGAGAGACTTGGTATAAACTTAGCACTTTTCATAACCTTCAAACATCCAAAAGTCTTCACATAAGTGCAGCACTTTCAAAGTTCTAGCAGAAATGTGGTGGCCAATTAGCACATGTTCTTGTAAAACAAACTAATGATGACCAGATAAATAACCAAAATTTTATTTATGTTGATTTAATTAAATTGCTCTGTACCTTTTAGGCAATTGGAATGAATGTTCAAGTTTTTATTTTTAAAGTTAAATGCACTTGAGAAGAAATACAGGCACTTCTTTATTGGCTTTAAATAATTGCTGTTTATTCCTATTCTCTGTTTCTCATTTTCTTCTGCAATTCCCTTACAGATCAACAGGCCTCCAGCCATACTCAAGCTGCTGACTTGCCAAGTGAAACCAAATCTTGAAGAAAAAAGATGTTTTGATCTTATAACCCGTAAGTATGATTCACTGTACAGCATATGCCATGGCAAAGAACATGTTTGCATTTACGTAGCACCTCTTATGACTTTGGGAGGACCCAAGGTGCTCTACAGGCAGAGGAGTGGTCTTCAAATTGTAGTTGCTGTTGGCATATGGAGAAATGCAGCAGTGATTTACTACAGAGCAAATTCTCTCAAAAAGCAAATAGATAAGATACCAATTAGTTAGCTGGCTGCATAATTATTGGCCAGAGACATCAAGCGTCTCTAGTTCTTGAAATAGTGTAGTAGAATCTTTGCATTCACCGAAGAGGATAGATGAGACTTTGGTTAAACATCTCATTTGAAAGATAGTACCTCAGGCTGTGTAGTATAATCTGCGGTGTGTTGGCATGATGCACAAATTTATCTTGAAGCTGTGCTGCTGTACTTTAGGCATTGACATCTCATTTGTTTTTGTGTAGATAATCGAACATACCACTTCCAAGCTGAGGATGAGCAGGAATGTCAAGCGTGAGTAAAAGGATGGTATCTTGTAAGATATTTTACACTGAAACCTTTCTTTTTGCATAAGGTTTGGTGGCTGCCATTGCTTGCTTAGTGCATTTCCATGTGTTTTCACTGAGCAGATTGGGCACAACCTCTGCTCTGGGTGAATCTTGTATTTGAATTGAGCAGAAATGTTTCTAGGGCTTTAGGCGTGATGAACTCGGACATGTTGTTTGTAAATCTACAAAGTATTTAAGAGGACAGAACAGGCCATTCAGCCCATTATCTCCGTGCTAGTACTCGTGATGGACATGAACCTCTTCCCACCTTACCTGATCTAAGATCATCAGGGACAAAATAGCCCACATAATTAACACTCACTCCCCCACATGAAACATTCACTCCCTCTACCACTGGTGCACAGTGGCAGTGATCTGTACTATCTACAAGAGGCACAGTAGCAAATTACTGAGGTTCCTTTGATAGCACCTCCTAAACCCATGGCATGTATCACTTAGAAGAGCAAGGGCTGTTGGTGCATGGAAACACTGTCCCTCCAAGCTCCGTTCCAAGTCACATACCATCGAGACTTGAAAATATATTGTTTATTCATTGACACCAAGTCAAAATCCAGTTACTCCCCATATTAACAGTACTTTCTTTATTCATTCACGGGATGAGGGTGTTGCTGGCTAGGCAGCATTTATTGCCCATCCCTAATTGCCCAGAGGGCAATTCAGAGTCAACTACATTGCTATCGATCTGGAGTCACCAGTAGTCCAGACCAGGTAAGGACGGCAGTTTCCTTCCCTGAAGGACATCAGTGAACCAGATGGGTTTTTCCCGACAATCGACAATGGATTCACGGTCATCATTAGATTCTTAATTCCAAATATTTATTGAATTCAAATTCCACCATCTGTCATGACGGGATTCACACCTGGGTCCCTAGAACATTATCTAGGTCTCTGGATTAACAGTTCACAGCGATAACCCCCCTGGCCCTTTCCCCCCCCCCCCCATCTCACTGTGGGTGAGCAAAGCTACACCATTAAGACTGCAATAGTTCACGACCAGCACCTCGCAATTGGGGGTGAGCCATCCAAGTGACCAACGACCTTCTGATTTAGGTAACAGTGCTAACCACTGAACCAGGTTTCGTACCAATATCATAATATGCCGAAGACAGACACAAATAAATTTTGTTTTGTATGTGTATGCAAAGACCATAATTGAAGTCAAAGTTGTATTTGGCTATTTTAATTGCATGCTGGCAAACTGTGTATACCGGCACCGAACTATATCCAGTAAAACAGTGCCCACATGAGTGCTTTGGTATGATATCAATAGAGTATAACCCAGTCCTAAGTATTCATGGCTAGCGCATATGTCCTTGTGCTTTCAGATGGGTTTCTGTGTTACAGAACAGCAAGGAAGAGGCACTCAACAATGCCTTTAAAGGAGACAATGGCAATGGCAGCAATGACACTGTACAGGAACTGACCAAGTCAATCATTGCTGAGGTCAAAGGCATGCCAGGAAATGAGGTGTGCTGCGACTGTGGTGCTGCAGGTAAATGTCACCTATCCATGATCTGTTTGTCTCTTTATCTGTCCCATTGTAGCATGAAGCTGGGGTGAGTCAGCTGTATCCACATGTCGGAACACCCCGCTTAGTGCATGCCTAGTTTGGGATTTCTTCTGTTGTGATTGGTGGAGAGTGTGTGTGCGTGTGTGTGTGGCGGGGGGTGCACTGGTTTGAATTGCTGTTTACCAGGACTTGAGTCCTATCCCTGGAGTTCCCGGTTTAGCTCCTCCAGGCAAGTTCAAGTGCTGTAGGTATGGACTGCCCTGGTTGGCACAAAAGGCACAGTTCAGGATGCTTTGGGAACAAAGGGAGACAGTTCTGTGGTGGTACTGAAGGCCCAGTGGGTAGGTATATCACATATTATAGTAGGGTGAGGGATCCTCCATATCCCCTCCTGAACATCCTATTCTTCCTGCAGACCGGTGGAGTGGGGGGTGGGGGCAGCCCTGAGCGACATGTTCATTACCAAATGGAGTTCTTGTCTTGATGCCTCTAGTAAGGCAGGTAGTGCGGCCCTCACTCCTTCCAGGTGGAATCCTTAGAAACACTTTTGGAACAAAAATTGCTCAAATGTTGCCGTCCTGATGGAGACCCTTTTTTATTTTGCACTTGCAATTGGCAATGCTCAGTATTAAAAGCTGGTCGTTGTTGAAAGGGGATTTTAGTTTAGGTGGTGGTTACCATAATGCGCACAGCTTCTTCAGTGAGCATTAAAAATGGTCATCACCTGTTTAATGACCCTTTGGATGGCTGTTTCAAATCTTGTCCTGAACCCATGTTGGAACTTGAGACTCATTCTCAGCTGCTTTGGAGGCTTTTCAGCATCTGACATATTCATCAATATTCCCATCTCTAATTTGTTTTGAGTAAGAAAGATATCAGGTTGAGCAACTTCTTCCTCAGCTTCACTTCCCCACTCCACCCCCATCCCCCATCTCCCACTCCCATCCCCCAAACCATTTCTGATCGGGATAGGCATATGTTATAAAGCTAGAGAGTATGAACTGAAAGGGCAGTGTGGGGAGATGATGGCGTAGTGGTCATGTTGCAGAGCAGGGCTATGCTGAGAGGCACCAGATTCAAATCTCATTGTAACTGGTAGTGGGGTTTATTCAATTAATAATAAAGCTAATCTCAGCAATGGTGACCATAACTATCATCAATTGTTGCAAAAACTATCCTTACCTGGTCTGGCCCACATGAGACACCAAATCCTTAGCAATAAAGTTGACTCTGAAATGCCTGGTGAGTCACTTAGTTGTAGGGCAGTTAGGGAGTGGCAGAAATGTTGGCCTTGGAGAACATCTATTTTTTGAGTGAGGTTGAGGGAACTCTTAATTTATGCCTGATCTTGGGCTCAGTCTGGTAGTTCACCTCCATCGTTGCAGGACACTGAGGAATGCCTGTTTAAATTGAGTTTAAAGTCCGAGTGGAGGGCATGACTCCCGTGTCCTTGAGGCAAGAGTACTACCTGAGTGCCTCTTACCCTCCTTTTGTGTATAATTATGTTCAATAAAGTTTGTTGCTGTTCACTCACAAAACTAGATTTCATATGACTACACTATATAAAACAAATGGCTTTCTGCTGGCTGCCACTGAGGAACTAGCATTGGCCACATGTGGAAGACTGACATTTTAGCTGGGAATTGCCTCTGCACTGATTCCAGATGTTTTGTGTGTTTTATAGGTGTTACCCAAGTGGGCAGATGAGATCCTTTTCTCTTTTGATATGGGTAATGCTTCAGATGAACGATCAGAAATGACAGTCATATCTCAGTTCTTGAACCAGGGGCTGGGATGGTGCAGATACAGCAAGGCTTTTCCGTTTTTGAGATCCTGAAACATAAATGGATCCAGTGTTTGGAAAAAATTTATTAGGTGGCATTTGCAATACTGAAGGCTTCCTGCACCATGGACTGAATTGGTTTCAACCACCAATCCAAAACCCACTCTCTCTGGTTCACGTGACGACATAAGCATTGGGTGTTGCATTAGCCTGGAACTAAGACTCCCTGCACCATGTTACTGACCTTGGCTCTTCTGCCAAGGGGAAAAATGACAGCTGTCTAAAATAAGTAGTTGCTTAATGCAATGATGCTCACTGTTGCATTTAAGTAGAATCTTTAACATTGCAAAACATCCTACGCAACATCATTGGAGTGCATATAAATAGAAGTGGGAGCTGAGCCATGTGAGATTAGGAGAGATGATCCAAAAGGTTAGTCAAAGTGATGGGTTTTATGAAGTAAAGGAGAAGAGAAATTTGGAGAGGTTTTTGGGTGAAAGTTGAGAAGTTGGGATTACATAGCTGAAGGCATGGCCACCAATGGTGCAGTGATAGAAATTGGGGATGCACTAGAGGTAAGGGTTGGAGGAATAAAGTGATCTTGGAGGATTGAGAGCCCAGAAATTTAGAGAGAAGAGACAATGGCAGGATTTGAGAATTGGAAAGCCAGTAAACCCAATTGCTACTGTTGAACAGTGGTGAATGTGGGTACAGTTACAATGTTTAAAAGATAAGTACGTGAATAAGAAATGTTTGGAGGGTTATGGGCGAAGCACAGGCGTGTGGGACTGGTTTAGTTGGGAATTATGGTTGGAATGGCCTGGTTGGATTGAAGGGTCTGTTTCTGTGCTGTATGTCTCTATGACTCTAACTGGTCCAAGTCTGTCCAAGACATGATGGGTTTTCATAATCTGCTCTCAAATTGATTGTGGGCTCCATTGGAGAGTTGGGGAGCTGGGTGGAGCAGTGTTTGCCTATTGAATACAACTGGCACAAAGTCAAAGGTGTTGATGTAATGGCTAATTACAGCCTTAGTGTTCTGTCATAATCATGTGTAAATAATCCAACTGATCTTGTTTTAGATCCTACTTGGCTCTCTACCAATCTGGGCATTGTGATCTGTATTGAATGTTCTGGGATTCATCGCGAATTGGGTGTCCACTATTCCAGGATACAGTCGCTCATGCTGGATGTCCTAAGCACATCTGAACTCTTGGTAAATCTGATATTCTTACTCCCAGCCCCTCAGGTGTTCTTTCATTTCTCTTTCTTGTCCTCAAGTAACTTAACACAGCCTCAGGTTATCTCAAAGTGCTTTATAGACAATGCAGTCCTTTTGCTGAGCAGTCACTATGATAATGCAGTATCCAAATTGAGCAGAGAGATTCCACGGAAAGCAGTGTGAAGATGATCAAATTGTTCTTGATATGTTGAGGGATAAATGTGACCAGGACACCAGGAAGAAATTCCCTGCTCGTTTGAAATAATGGCCAAGGGATTCTTCCATCCATCTGGGAGGGCAAGTGTGGTTTTACTTCTCTGTCTCTCTCAATACTCCGCAGAAAGCATCAATCTAGATTCTCTGCTCAAATCTCAAGATGCGACTTGGATTCTCAACCTTCTGACTCAGAGGCAAGAGTGTGACCATCTGAGCCAGGACTGACCTGGAATCGGAAAGTTAGTTGAATTCTATGGCACTGCTGTGAACCTTGACCCTTGTTTTCTAATTTTTCAGAAAAGAATTAAGTGCATTGTTCACTTATAATTTGTTTATCCTCCTTCTGTCCCCATCTCACTCTGCCAGGAAGCTCTGGGGTCAGTTATACCTCCCTAACTTGGCATGTACCCATGTGGGTTAAGTTTCAAACCTGCTGTGTTCCTGCCTTCTCTAACTCAGCAGGGAGTCTCCGGAAACACTCTAGCTGAAAATTGCGACTTCTCTACCTCCCCATTTCTCTGCTTCTAGCTTAAGATCAGGTCAAAATACGCCCTTTCTCATGCCAGGGATTGATTAAAGCACATCAGCTGCTGGTCATGATGCTATGACAAGGGTCTGTTTGTAAACCCAGAGTCTCATCAGCACAGGGCTTTAAATTACTGAAGGGTAATGAGACTCTGTCTTCTGCTTCCCAGACACTATACTTCATCTTTTGTTCTGGTCTTCACTGAGTTAGGTCTCTGCATGTGTTGTGATTGTAAGCACAAGCTCCAGAGGGTTAACATATATTTGCGTTCACTCTGTCCAAACCTTTTGACATCAGTAAAATCTAACTCTGTCATCCACTTGACTCCCTTTAATCTCCAGATACTCAATGGTAAGTGTCGTAGACTACTCGTCTCTGCAGGGCATTGTGTATTGTGCCAATATGTTCACAGCTCCCCGTCAGCAGAAGTGAGAATTCTGCAGCCTTTCTCTCTTTCTTCATGCCATTCCTGATCTTCCAGCCAATTGCTGTTCTTCTACCCCATATCTGATCAGCTAACTCAGCACAGGGCCTGAATCTCGGACTTTCCGAATCTGTTTTACGCACTGTGTCTTTATCAGCAGACTAGATTTCCTTCGGGTTTCAATATCTGTCACTTTGTGATCTTTGTCCATCACATGAGTTCCTTTTTCAAAAGAGCTTTTCAAAGCAAGGGTTCAGATAATCTTTATTCCTGGAGCACTGAACAAAACGTTTTCCCTCTATCTGAATAGACAAGGAATGTTTCTTATTCCTCTTGTCACGTGAGGTCCTCTCTAGAAAAGCTATTTGTGCTGTGTTTTGGAAACTGAATGCTACCAAGGTGATGTCTTGCCTCAGAGTGTTGGCTGTGTGCCCATCCACTGATTCACCAAAGTCCTTGAGCAATGGGTAACTGGTGTTACTGGTATAGAGAGGGAGCGTGTGTATGCTGCGGGGGGGGTTTAGGTTGCTAATGAGTATGACTGAACCTGGATAACATAGGGAATGGGTGAGATTGTCTCTGTCTCTGTGATTCTGGGTGTCGGCTGGCACAGTGTGGGTTTGTGTGCACAGGGAGGTGGCATGGTACGTGGTTGCTCATGGCACCGTATGTATAGGGGTCTGGGTTGTCTTGTACCTTGGTAACTGAGGATGCTGCTGATCCTTTCAAGCGCTCACTTGCTGTACATTCCATACGTGCCATTAATCTGGTGCTCTCTTGCTTCCTGCAGCTTGCTAGTAATATCGGAAACACGAGGCTGAATGAGATTTTTGAGGCAAACTTGTCAGCTCAGTGTGGAGTAAAACCCACTTCGACCAGTGACATGTAAGTACCACACCTAGGGCTAGAGTTGTGAAGAGGGTGTAGGGAATTTGTAAATAATGGGACTGGATAGACCATCTGTCATCACAAAGTCCTCCTTACTCCCATTGGAGGGCTAGTACCAACGTTGGGAGAATTGTCTCTCAGACAAGTCAACCAACAGCCCTACATAATTGTATATCACGGATCAAACCTTGGAAATAATGTCCCCGATACAATCTGCACCTGTCCCAACTGCAGGATAGGCCCAGCAGAGGATGCAGCAAAAGATACACAGTTGGGGTTGGGGGGTGGTGGATGGTGAGCCGTGAGAGTCTTCAACATTGATTCTAGACTTCGTAAAGTCTCATGGCATCAGGTCAAACACGGGAAAGGATACCTCCTGCTGTTAACACATAGTGTCTTTTCCTCCACCTTGGCTGATGAGAGTGGCGATGGTGTAGAATGTACTCTGGATGGGGGACTTCAGTGTCCAGAGTTTGGTTTCTGCCAGGGCAATTCAGCTCTTGACCTCATCTCAGCCTTGGTTCAAAAGTGGAGAAAAGAGCTAAGGCCCAGAGGTGAGACAGCCCATGACACTGAGGCTCCTTTGATAGCATGTGACATCCAGAAGCCCTAGAAAAACTGGAATCAATGGGATTCGGGAGTGGGTGGGGTAGGGGTGGTGATGGTGGGATGGAGGAATGGAGATCTCCAGTTGGAGTCATACCTAACACAAAAGATGGTTATGGTTGTTGGAAGTCAGTCATCTTAGCTTCAGAAATCTCTGCAGGAGTTCCCCAGAGTGGCGTCCTAGGCCCAATCATTTTCAGCTACTCCATCATAAGGTCAGAAGTGCTCAGCACCATTCATGTCTCCTCAGATACTGAGGCAAATTTCCAAGATCGAGACAATATCCAAGTTTGGGATGAAAAATGCCAAGTGACATTCAGGCCAGGCAATGACCATCTCCAACAAGAGACAATCTAACCATCAGTCCTTGATATTCGATGACATTATCATTGCTGAATCTCCATTATCAACATTCTGGGGGTTTAACATTGTCCAGAAACTAAACTGGACTAGCTGTGGAAATAGTGTTGGTACAAGAGCAGGTCTGAGGCTAGGAATACTTCAGTGAGTAGCTCCCCTACTGTCTCCTCAAAGCTTATCCATCATCAACAAGGCTCAAGTCTGGAGTGCGATGGAATATTCCCAACTACCCTGGATGGGTGCAGCTGTAACAACACTCAAAAAGCTCGACAACACCCAGGACAAAGCAGCCCACTAGATTGGCACCACATTCACTGCCTCCACCACCAATGCTCAGTTGCAGCAGTGTTTATCTTCTGCAAGATGCACTATAGAAATTCACCAAGGCTCCTTCAACAGAACCTTCCAAATCCACAACTATCATCACCTGGAAGGAAGGGCAGCAAATACATGGGAACACCACCACGTGCAAGTTTACCTTTTGTGCCACTCACCAACCTGACTTGGAAATAAATTGCCATTCCTTCACTGTGGCTGGGTCATAATCCTGGAATTCCCTCCCTAGGGGCATTGTGTTCCTTTCCACTTAATTTAAATTTGTCTTAATAAAAATTAACATTTACACAGCAAATGGACTGCAGCGGTTCAAACAGGCAGCTCACCGTCTCAAGGACAGCTAGAGACAGGGCAATAAATGCTGGCCAGCCAGTGACCCCCATGTCTCATGAGACAATAAAAGTGCTTGCCATACTTTATCTGCCCCAACCCCACCCTTCAAAGCCTCCGGCAGTAGAACTTAAAATCAAATCCAATGTCATAACCGTTAAGTACTATAAGTGCAAAGGTCAAGGATTGAAGTCAAAGGGGTTGCACACTTGTCCTGCATGTTGTTCAACGTGCAGTTGTCATGGAATTAATGTGCATGTTGCTGTGTAAGGCATCTGGCAAGCAACCAAAGCAACAGTTCTTCTGCATCGTTATTAATGTCACACTACATAACTTCCCTTTATCCCCTTACGGCCCGACTCCAACTGTAAAATGCCTTTGAGTGATTTTTTTTTGCTGTGTAAATGTTAATTTAAATTTGTTTTGATAAAAATTAAGTGGAAAGGAACAGAATTTGAATTATATCATGGAGGTTCCACCAGGAACATGGGGATTGGAGGTGACCTTTCAGTCCTTCATGCGTGCAGAACCACTGTTGGATCTTGGTTGATCTGCATCACGACTGTACCTTTGCTTTATACACCTCAAAAGCCTTTAACCTGAAAACAAGACAATTTGTATTGGTTTTGAAAGCTGTAACTTGTTCTACAGCATCCATGGATTTTGAGGGAAACAGTTCCTGAATTCCACAACCCCTTTGTGTTGGGAGAAAATGTGACCTGACTCCACCTCTGAATGGCTGTAATTTTAAGGTCATGCTGATACTTCCCAATTCTGTGGCCAATCTTAGTGTCAAATCTTTCAACATCTTTGTCCATAAATGTTCTCTGCTCGAACATGTAAACAAAGTCAGCATGGAGAAGGCCATTCAGCCCATTGTGTCAGCACTGGCTCTTCTGAAGAATTGTTTTGAATTCCTACTCTGTCTCCATATCCACACAAGTTTGTTCTCTCCTTCAACTTTATATGAAAATCTCCTTTCAGAGCCTATTGACTTTGTTCTCACCACATGCAAGGTATAATCCTCATGTTACTGCTGGGGCCAGTCACCTTGAAACCGTAACCTCTGATTATTTCCTTTCAGCTATTGGAATGTCTTCCTTTATCTATGCTATCTTCAACCTATTTCAATTTTAAACACGTCTGTCAGATCTCCTCCCCTGCTCGAAGGTGAAATCTCAACTTCTCCAATTCATTCACAAAATTATAATTCCTTATCCTTCATTCCAGTGAATTTCTCTGATCCCTCTCTAAAGCCTTTATGCACTTCCTAAAGTGTGGTGCCTAGAAATGGACACTGCACTTTAACCGGGAATGAACTTGTGCTGTAGAATGATTTGTCATAACTTCCTGGCGGTTGTATCTTGTGCTTTTGCATGTGCTTTAAATAACCAGTTTGCTAACCTGTCCTGTCACTCTTGAAGATTTGTGCACCATCCCTACCTGCAGCTTGCCTGTTCTCACACGTACTTTTTAATATTGTACCATTTAACCAGTTGAGCCATATCTCCTTTTGTCATTAATTGGAGCTTGACAATAAACAGTGACCGTTATTGTCCGTTTTTCTTAAGTCATGGAGTCGTACTGTACTGCAGTCCTGGGGATCCACTTTCTGAAGATTATTCCCTACAAATCAGTTTACATTTCTGATCTCCCTTCGATGTTTCTCTTTATTCTTTCACAGAGTTTTATTTGTTTTAGTCCTGGAGAGCAGTGAGCAGTGTATGAGTCTTTTGTATAAATGTTATGGCACTTCACTGGAGAAAATAGCCTTTGGAATTTTAAGAAAGTGTTTAGTTGAATTCTTCTGAGTCCTTGGCATAACAGAAGATTAAATTATTTCTGTTTTGTTTGTTTGGGCAAAGGCCAGGTGTAATGTACATTTCTCCTGAAGACGAATAGCTTGTGCTGGGGTGGTGTGGGTGGAATTTTTTCACAGCCATCGGTTTTCCCCAACCTGGAACCAAACCCAACCAAGTATTTTTCATGTGTGTCAGTGGAAGGCTGTGGGTGTATCACCGTTCTGCCTGATCCATGCCTTTTCAGCAGGAACTTCTCAGCTGTCCCCCAGCCGCAACTGATCGAGGGACCAGGGAATTGAACCTGGGTATTTTTTTTTCAATCTGTGAGACTTAATAACCGCACCTCCATATCTATTTAGCCTTAACCCATTCAGCTGCTGTTGGAAGTTGTGTGTAACCTCTTAGACCCTGATGACTGAGAGTTCCCCATCTCCAGAAACATTTAAGCGGGATCTCAGTAATCAGTAGCGGAAGAAGGGAGGATTCAAAATAAAAGAACCTCTGGCTGACTTGACCTTCACTGTTTGATCTTAGAAATAAGTTTGCCGCCTTGGTGATGGGTGACAAACCACTAGTATCTTAGTCCTTCTGCACAGCAATCCTTGAAGTCCAGTTGACCAGCTGAATCCAACGTAGGAAGGAGGGCAGGATTCAAATGAATTTACAGTGCAGAAATAGGCCATTCAACTTGACTGGTCCATGCTAATGTTTATGCCCCCCAAAAAAACCCCTTCTCTCACTCCCTACTGCACAGGTCCATTATCAGCACAATGTTCAGGTCTTTTTCTAAGCTGCCTTTTAAATGCATCGACTGCCCCTAGTGGTATGCAATTTGTCACCCAATCTCTGGGTAAGAAAGCTTCTCTTAAATCCCCAATTGGATTTATTAGTGACTGTCATGCCTTCATGGATCATAAGTGCATGCTGGGCTGTAACCCAGAGTGAGGGACTTGTGGGTGTTAGTCTTTGATAGGTAACGATGGTGGTGTGTTGAATTGGTTCCTTAAGCAGTCGGGGCTACTAAGCGATGGTCTTCACGCTAACCTCTGCTTAAAGATTCCCTCTACACCCAATAGGAACTCTCGAAAGGAATTTATTACTGCAAAGTACGTGGAGCACAAATACACAAAGAAAGGCGTTTGCGAAGGTGGATGGAGGCTGTTTGAGGCCATCCGGAACAAGGATCTCCTGGCTCTGCTGCAGATGTACACCGAGGGTGTGGATTTCAGTGCACCACTCACCCTGCCAGATGGACAGGTGACTCTTCTTGCAGCTTCTGAGGAAGGGTCACTCCACCTCAAACGTTAATTTTGATTTCTCTCCACAGATGTTGCCAGACCCTCTGAGCTTTTCCAGCAACTTCTGTTTTTGTCACTACTTCTTGTTGTTTAGTCACTCTGCCTCCTGTTCACCCATCAGTACAATAGTGGAATCTTCATTTTAACAGGGAACATTACTGAGTCCCATTCTTATTTATTTACACCAATCTGATTCTTGGGATGGTCAGACTGCCCTATGGGGAAGCTGGGCTCACATTCCCTAGAGGTGCAACAGGCACAGAAATTACTGGAGACACTCAGCTGGTCTGAGAGCATCTGTGGAGAGAGAGAGAAAGTTAACATTTTGGGTCTGATAAGACTCCTCCGGTGCTTCCATTGAAGTATGCAAAATGGGAAAAGGGATCTCGAACTAAGGGACAGAGTCTCTGATTGGGTGGCATGGTTGCTGAGTGGTTAGCACTGCTGCCTCACAGCGCCAGAGATTAGGGTTCAATTCCACCCTTGTGCGACTGTGTGAAGTTTGAATCTTCTGCCTGCCTCTGTGTGGGTTTCCTCCCACTGGCTAACAATATGAAGGTAAAGGGAACTGGCCATGCTAAATTGCCCATAGTGTCCGTGGACATGCAGGCTTGGTGGATTATCCGTGGGAAATGCAGGGTTACAGGGCTGGGGTGGTGGGAACGGTGGGGGGGTCAGTCTGGGAGGGATGCTGTTTGGAGGGTCGCTGTGGATTTCATGAGCCAGGTGTCCTGATTCCACACTGGAGCGATTCTTAAAAACAATTTAAGGTGCAGGCCATTAAAAACTGAGATGAGGAAGAACCTCTTCACTTGGAGGGTTGTAAACACTGCCCCAAAGAGCTGTGGAGTCCTAGTTGTTGAGTATTTTTGAGACAGAGGTCGACAGCTTTCTCGATATTATACACAGAGGGTAATGGGGACAATGTGGGGGAAAAGGCATTGAGGTAAGACATAAGCCATGATGATGTTAAATGGCAGAATAGGTTTGAGGGGCCGAATGGCCAACTCCAATGTTCCAGTTTGAATTACAGAATCAGAGAATCCCTACAGTGCTGTTGGAGTCACTACTTTCAGAATAAAAGTCCTTAGAACAGTGTTTCTCTACTGTTTGTTTTTACTCTTTTTTTAGGACCTTGGGGAAACACTGTTGCACCTTGCTGTGCGGTTGGCAGACAGAACATCGCTGTCTTTGGTTGACTTTCTCATCCAGAATGGGTTGGTATCATTTCCGATGCAGAGTTGGGAGCATAACTGTTTTGAAATTGGCAGGTGTTGTTTCTCAGATCTTAATGTGGCTTTCCTGGCCGGGAAGGGCCTATTTATATTGTTTTGCTTCCAAATCGAGTTGGAAGCACCGATTTTCAGTTGTTGGTTTCATCTGATTTCGACCCAGGATCAGGAGCTGAACACTCGTGCTCGAACGCTAAAGTTATTGCTAAAGTTTCTGCAATGCCAGTGACCCGACATGGTTTTTGTGACCTGGCCTGGTGATCTCGGTGACCTGTCGTCACCCTTTTTGATCACTGAGTGGTAAATTCTGTATTTGTCCTGGTTGTCTGGAGTGTTCCTACTGCAGCCCTGATTTGAAGGCAGCGTGGAACCTGATATTAAACCCGAAACCTTCCTGGTCTGTGTGATGATGAAGGAAAGGCCGATGTATTTCCAAGATGGGATGGCGTTGGGATTGGTGGCGGTGATCCTAGGTCTGATGGCTGTCCAACATGTCTGCTATTCTCGTCTTTTAAGTGATGGAGGTTCCGCATTAGAGAGATGCTATCAAAGAAAGCCTAATGTTGGTGGAAATTGGGGGGTGCTGGAATATCCTTGAGGTTAGACAGAGTCTTACAGCTCAGTCTTCGAGTTAGATCCATCCTGTTTGTACAAGCTACACTCTTTGATTGCATTGCCAACACACCAGGGAGTTTCCTCTGAAGTTCCCTGGAAGCGATGACTAATCTCTATGATTTTGCAAAAAAAAGACCCAGAGAAAAATTGTTGTTGCATCAGGACGATAAAAAAAGTCACTTTCTTTGATTTGGTTATGGGAATTTTGGAAAAATGGTGAAAAAAGACTTCTTGACTAAGATATAAAACAAATCATCAAATTGGATTACAAAGGGTTTGATAACATTCTGAAAGGCTGGGTCAATGGTGTGAGTGCAGAGGGTCGTGTGCTTTGTGATCATAAGGAAACATTCAGAAATATATCCTGTCAGATTTGACAACCCTGAATACCCTCCACACTGCAAAGTGGATAACCTCCTGGCTGTATTGCATTCGAAAATGGGCCAGAAGCAATTTGGTTTGTTGGTTTGTTTGCATCCCTCAGGCCTGTGTGTGTGTGTTAAATTTGGTTTCTGCTGTTCCTGCAGGGGTGGCCTGGATGTGAAGACGGCAGAGGGGAACACCCCACTTCACTACTGCAGCCTGTACAACAAAACTGAGAGCCTGAAATTGTTACTGAAGGCAAAGGCCAGCATGCAGATCGGTAAGATCGGAGCCTACTGTGGTTAGGTGGTTCCTGAGCAGTCATTCTAACAACATGAGTCTCACCTTCAATCTTCGCTCCGATTCTCCACTTCATTCTGTTCCTTTTTAAGATATCATTTGAAACTCAGCTCTTCTGCCAAGCTATTAGTTAGCTAACCGAATGTCTTGAGTTTCATAACCTATTTTTGGGTGAAGTACCCAAGATGCTTCACAGGGACTTTACTGAAAGTGCTATATAAATCCACATTGTTCTCCCTGTCATCACTCCCACCTCTTCTGGGGCCCTTCCGTTCAAGGGTTTAAACACGTCACGTTGAAGATTTCAGACCTCACAGCTCACGCTGTTTCTGGCTGATATTGAGGAATATTCAGGATTTTGTGTGAACTGAATTCTGGTGAAGAGCTGCTTTAATGGGGCAGCCTGCTTCTGGGGTCCCCTGAATTGCTGGCTTGGTATCACCAACATTGCTCCTTTGAAAAGGGAGGACCTGATGTTCTGTATGCACTGCAAAAAAATCCCACACCGTAACTGGACTGTTCCATCATTCTGAGGTGTTGAGTTACCCGCTCATGGATAGCATTGTACATCTTTGCTCTCTCTCTCTCCCACCCAGCCCCATGTAGTTTCTCACGATAAGAACTCGAAATAGGAACAGGAGTGGGCCATTCAGCCATGAATGATAACTCTTGATTCCCCAACTGATCAAGAATCTATCTACCTTAGCCTTAAATATTCAAAAGGGACCATAAAGTCAGTGATGACTGTTACGAACCTTAACTCCACTTAGCAGCCTTTCTTCCGTTATCCTGAATACATTGCCTAGCGAAAATCAATCCCGACTTTGAAATCTCCAAACGGCCCCTATCTCAAGAGCTTTATTCTGAGTTTTAAAGATCCATTATCCTCCATGTGAAGAAATGCTTCCTACCAGACTCTTGGATAGCCTAGCTATAACCTTAATGTTCTAGCCTTTCCCACCACAGAAAATACAGCCAGCACTCCCTTTCCACATAGCTCTGTTTCATGACCTTTTGGTTTTAACATTGATCAGATAATGGCACAAATATTTGTGTTGTGAGTTTTGTTCTGTTGTTTTTTCATGTAGGGTCCAATGCAGGATCATTGTGCCATTTTGGAGTGGGCACTTCCTTTCCCTAGCTCTGCCTTGACGCCCCTCCCTGGTGCAGATTATCCTCCTGGCCTTTCAACTCGAGGCTGCTCTTGCTCCAGAGTTACTCTTCCTGCTTCTCGCCGCTCATTTCCCAAGCCCTTGTTCACAACCATGCTGTGGGAGAAGGAAGCAGGGAGTGGCACAAGAGAGTTGGGGAGCACAATGCACAGAAAGCTGCAAATACAGCGAGTCAGGTCATTGGCAACTGGGCTGTTAGAGACAGCTGACTCATTTCACGCACATTTTATATCTTGGTTTTCATTTTATTAAAAGTTTATTTCATTTTGCAACTATCGGAATTTGCACTTACAGTACTTGATGCTCTAATGTTTAATAAAAGCAAAATAGTGCAGATACTGGCAGTTTGAAATAAAAACAGTGGTGGAGAAACTCAGCAGGCCTCGGCAGCATCTGTGGAGAGAGAAACAAAGATAATGTTTAGAATCTGATATGAGTCTTATTCAAGTTCTATTATGTTTCAATGATTTTTTTTTCCCCCTGAGTGTAAGGTCTTTTCAGAATTTAACTATGTTTCAGTTGTAATGGGACACTGATTTGCATATTGTTTCACTTGACATTGCATTTTTCAGGAACACTGATACCACATTCAGCAAATACATCGAAGTTTCTCAATACTTACCTCCTTGAATCCTTTATTTTAACTCTGTCACCTCAATTAGAACAACCCCTTTTAACCTTTGTAGAATGCAAACCAGATCTATGCAACCTGCTGTGTGCCCGCCGCCCCCCCCCCATCCAGTATTGCCTTGGGAATCTGTACTGTGGTCAGGAACTCACTGGCATTTGAAGTTGTTAATAATTGAAGTAAAGCACGAAAGGAAGGAGAGGACTTTGTTGCTCAACAGGGCAGACATGAAGGATGTAAACTTGTTATCAGACCAGAGGGGAAATTATCCCCAGATGGGAACAGAAGACTAGTGCAGGCCATTTAGTTAGTTTCTGACTGATTTGTTTGTACCTTGGTTCTATCTGGCCTGTTGCCTACTTTATTGTTCTATCCCTCAAAACCCTTCCTTGCTCCACAAAATCCACTGAATAGATTTAGAATGTCTTAAATAACCTCAACCCCTACGTTTCCCACCCCTACCCGCTCAACCCCAGTCCTGCCAAAGGCTAGATATTTGATGGGGGAGAGGTAGGGGTGGGTTTTGTTTTGGATGAATAAATCCTGCAGTGAGGGAGAAGGACAGATCTCGACACTCCAAACGTTTCCTTTGCTGATCTCTGTCCTCCTGTGAGGTATTGCCTTGTGACCATCATCAGTGACAGAATGATATTCTGAGCGTATTGAATCGTGAGTGCAGACTGACCTCCCCTCACGCTGTAAAATTACCCCAGCTTTTAGTTTTGACTGTGGATCTGACATGAGGCCCTGGCTCAGGGCTTGCGCTTTGTTCTGATTAACACTCTCGTTCCTTTCGAAGGTAATGCGGCTGGAGAAACTGCCTTCGACATTGCAAAGAAGTTCAACCATTCCCGCTGCGAGGAACTGGTACAGTCCTTTTTGTTCCCATCTTGAATTTCTTTTTTTAAAATTCATTTTATTGTGGCTTTGAAGTAGGAGTTGAGCAGTCTCGTAACGTTTCGCTTACAGCTTGACCAAGCATTGTCCGGGAAGTTTAACCCTCCTGTTCACGTGGAGTATGACTGGGTGGTGCAACAAGACTTTTCTTACGACAGTGAGGATGATTTGGAGGAAAAGGTGACGTATCCTGGTCTCGTCTTCCCTCTCTTGTTCCCTCTCCTTCCCCTTCGATCCGTAGAATTCAGTCTCCAAGATGCACTGGTAGAACCTTAGCTGGTATACTGGGTGCAAGTCTGTGTCTCAGTCCCCTTTTCTTTTTAAGAAACCACTTCAAAAAACTTGGAGAGGGGCCAGAACAAGAGGCCAGGCTGGAGAGTGGGCTCAGTAGAACAGTCCTGGTTGGGAAGAAAGTTGATCGCGATGTTTAAAATCAAGGAGGGCTTTGACAGAGGGAGAAACTGCAAAGATTAGACGACACAGATCAAAGGTGATTGGCAGAAAAATAAAGGCAAACAGGATAAAAACGAGTTACGCAGAGAGTTATTATGATTTGGGATTTGCTGCCTGAAATGACAGAAAATGATTGTAACTTTGAAAAAGGGCTTGGAGTGAAGGGGAAGACTTTTTCGGGCTCTAAGGGAAATGTTAGGGAACTGGGCCAAAATGATAAAGAACCAGGACAGGCTCAATGGGAAAAATTGGATCCTCCCATGTCTTCTTCAATGATGCCCAGATTGCAGAAAATGGGAAAGAGAAGGCGGCTCCAAAGTGTTTTATCTGGATGATGTGCTGGACAGCACAGAGCAGTCAAGAATGATCCAGTAGCATTCCCTTGTGCTGCGTTCCCTGAACTCGGTATTTCAGTCGACCTGGGTGTAGAAAAACACAGAACGATGCCTTATCACACAGTGGGTAGTATTCAGGGCGGCACAGTGGCACAGGGGTTAGCATTGCTGCCTCACAGCACCAGGGACCCAGGTTTGATTCCAACCTCTGACTGTCTGTGTGGAGTTTGCATGTTCTCCCTGCGTCTGTGTGGGTTTCCTCCCACAGTCCAAAATGTGCAGGCTGGGTGGGTTAGTCGTGGGAAATGCGGAGTTACGGTTGGGGGGCAGGGTAGGTCTGGGTGGGATGCTCCTCGGAGGGTAGGTGTGGACTCGATGGGCCAAATGGCCTGCTTTCACACTTTAGGGATTTTATGATTCCTGTCTAAGCCAGTAAACTCTGTGTTCGAGTCCCATTCCAGGCCAAGGGCTGGTACATTTTGTATTGCTAAAATATCGACTTGTAAATCTATCCCACATATACCAATGGCAGGTAGTAAGCAATGGAGAATCTTCCATCATGATCCATCATTCCAGGCCATCTAAAAGTGATGTCACCACAGCAACCCAGACTCCTTCTGGAGACGGGAGATAGGGGGACAGTTGGGGTGGGAGTGGACATTTAAAAAAAATCCACAGCACTAGAACAGGGGTCATCTCATGTCCTAATTGATATTTACCCCTCAACCAACATCCCTAACAGCAGATTACACGATCATGTATCTCTGTGAGAGTCTTCTGCTACACTTCCTACATTGCAACGCTGGCTTTACTTCACAATTACCTGTAATTTGCATTGGCACATACTGAAGTTGTGAAAGTCTGTACATAAGTGCAAGTCTTTCTTGCACAATCCTCATACAGAATACAACCTTTTCAGTCTGTTTTGCTTCAGCTCCCCCCCAACCATATGCTTTAAGTTAGATAAGCAGGTGCTTCCCTCATGTGGCAGCTCAGTGTCACTGTCCAATTACAGAAGAAAGGTTTGAGTTCTCAGCACAGAAGCTTATTCCTCCAACCCTTTTTTTCCCTTTCTTGTTCCTTCCCTTCCTCTTTTCCTTACAGAGCATCATAACATAGTGTCCACATTTGGAAGACCTCCTTCCCAAAAATCCCTGACAGTTTCTGAGAAGGGAAATACCGTGATGGTGCTGGCCAATTGTGAGGTGTTGTCATAGAATCATAGAATCCCTACAGTGTGGAAACAGGCCCTTCGGCCCAACAAGTCCACACTAACCCTTGGAGCATCCCACCCTGACCCATCCCCCTATAACCCACACACCCCTGAACACTACGGGCAATTTAGCACGGCCAATCCACCTTGCCTGCACATCTTTGGACTGTGGGAGGAAACCGGAGCACCCGGAGGAAACTCACGCAGACACAGGGAGAATGTGCAAACTCCACACAGACAGTCGCCCGAGGGTGGAATCGAACACCAGGTCCCTGGCACCTTGAGGCTACAGTGCTAACCACTGAGCCACCGTGCCGCCCCAGTGATTGATCTCAATGGAATGATTGAACTTGTGTCTTCAGGTTATAGAAGAGATATGTTAAGTTAAACAAGCACAGGCTCAGCACAAACCAGAGTTCAACCCCAATGTTGTATTGATCCCACATGTGTTGTAAAGTTGAGAACTAATGGGGGTATGGTGGTGGGAGAAAAGGGGCAAAAATTGCCTTTGGGATATATAGAAGCCCATGCCACCCTCTTAACTGGCTCTCTGAACTGAGTTAGAAGTTTTTGAACTCCATTTCAGGCGTGGAGTGTATAACTAGGCTGCTGTGGTGAGTAGGCACTGTTACCTCCTGGATGAGGCTTCAAGGCATTGACAAACTTGTCCCACTGAGTTGTTCAGGTAGTTGTCGAAGTCACTATTAAACTACCTGATGGCAAGGCCGATGCTCCCCCACCCCTCCTCCTTCTTCTGCACTCAACTGATAGCAAAAACAGTGTTCATTCATTTGGTGAGAGATAGTAGGAACTGCAGATGCTGGAGAATCCAAGACAACAAGGTGCAGGGCTGGATGAACACAGCAGGCCAAGCAGCATCATAGGAGCAGAGAGGCTGA